CTGCTGAATTAAAAAATCCATTAGCCTACTTTAAAACAGTTTTCTATATTCTTGTGTAAAATATTAAATCCTAAATGCAATCCAATTATAGCTGCAATTTAAGCAACTATAGCTGTCTCTTCTGACTTTCCTTAGGGTGACTGGAACATGTGACAAGCGGGAAGTCTTGAAGGCACTGCAGGTCTAGGATAAAATACAGAATAGACTCAAGTTAGCTGAACTTTTTCTTTGTTAGGTAAACAATAACAACATGCACTCACACACACAAATAATGAAAAAGAATTCAAAAGAAATGCTAAACTTAAATGATTCTTAGGAAAAACAGACCAATATTTATGGTAGGATGAATAAGCTTTTTTGTAATTCGAAGATGACTAGAAGTTTAAATTAGACATATTTAAAGTATCTGTATAAATTTCTTGTGCACAGGTAATAGTATAAGCAAAACTACTATTGCATTTGTAAAATTTTCTTCTTTTCTTTTCCCCTTCCTTCCCTCCTTTTTTTTTTCTATTTTGAGGCTAACAATGACCTCTTTCCTAAAAGTACTAACATGTATCAAGTTGTCAGCATAAATTCAGTCTGACTTCTGACTTCGAAAGAGACAATAAAATTTTAGAAATGATAAGCTTTGAAAACTTCCAGTAGAAGGTACTTAACCCATTTGTCTTTATAGCTGTTTTCTTGTGAAAAATAGAAAGTGACTCTGGTCTTCAAAACAATCTTCACCATTCCCTCTTTCTCTCCAGTTCCCTCCCGATCCCAAAGAGAACAGGCCGGAGCAGATTATTATGAGTCTTTGTTCTCTGAGATTAAAACCAGAGTGTTCTATACGCACAACAGACACATATTTGTGTTAAAGTTATGCAGTAAGGGAGATAAAAATTCTAATAATTTTAGAACTCTTAGAGAAAAGCACCCTGCTTACCGCCCTATTTCTCCTTCCCCAAACCAACTACATTTAGTAATTTTAGATCTCTCTTTTTATAATCACCTCCATATATCTAAATAGAATTAGTATCTCACTGATACTTAACAGATACATACTATAAACAACCTACTGATCTTCCACAATGGAACATGAGGATTTTGTCTTCTTTCACCACCACTCCCTCCCTCTACTTCTTTCTTTCTCTCTCCCGCAGACGCTTTCTCTCCCCAGTATCACACTAATATTGTTCCATCATAAATTTGACTCTGTTGGTATCAGTATCATAACTTAGGAAACACTATTTCTAACTGAGCTCTGTAATATAACAAAAGTATATTTATCTTTTCACATAAAACTCTCTTCAACCCGGAATTAATCATTGTTTTAGTTTGCTTACTTATTTGGTTTTCTACACATACAACTGGTTTATACTCATCCCTTTGTCAAAAAACTTATCTTGGATATTGAAAAGATAATCTGTATTTTGTCAGGTCCATGTTTTTGGCCACCTCTTTCCAAGAGCTTTCCTCCCTCTATTTCAGTCTTGACCAGTTGCTGTCTCACGGCCTTGGGTTCCTTCTTCACCGTCTTTCCGGGAATTTCCTTCACTCTTCTTTTTTCTAGGTCCTAAGTTTGTTTCCTTGGTTTACTTTTCATTTTGTCATCACCTTGCTTTCAGTAGCTGTTTGATAGTGTAGTTAGGGAGTAAGTTTAAGACCTCACATATCTGAAAATGTCCTTTTTCTACCCTTACACCTATTTATATACAATTCTAGGTTAGAAATGATTTTCGTGCAGGGGTTTGAAGACATTGCTCTATTATCTTCTGATTTTCAGTATTCGTATTGAGAAATCTTTTTCTTTCTGATTTCTTATCCTTTATATGCAAACTAGTATTGTTTTTCTTTCTTTGGGAGGGTGTTTAGAATCTTTTATGAGTTTTCAGTAGTCTATAACATCATGATGACTTTTACTAGGGCTGGCCTTAGTCATCCATTTTGCTGGGAAATTTGTAGGGCTTTTTAGTCCAGAAACTCATGTCTTACAATTCTAGATATTTGGAAAAGAATTTTTTAATTTACATTCTCTTCTCTTTTCTTTTTTATTTCTGTTCTTTCTCCTCATTCCCTCCTTCTATTACGTTAGCTTATTTGTTTATTCTTTTATCTTTGGAAATATAACTTTTTGAAGATTATAACTTCAACTGAGTTATTAATTTTCTAATTTTTTCTATCCCATTTTCCTTTTCTTATCTTTTGATTTACTTTCTGAGAGATGTATCTTGTAACTCTTGTGTTCTCCTCTCTACTTTGTCTTTATTTTCTTCAACATACTTTTGGGTTTGTTTGTTTGTTTGTTCATTTGTGTTTTTTTTGGTTTGTATTGACACCAGAACACACACACACAAAACAAACAATCCAAAACCTGACTAGAAACTCTGTGTGCCTGCGTAGGACTTGTGGATTGGTTGGTTTCATTGTCCAAAACACTTTGTTGGGGGACTCATGACTATCAGTGTCTTTCAGTTTTTACTTGTGGACCATTCAGATTCCTCAGACAAGAATCTTGAAGGGTAAAATTACTCAACTGTTAAAAGGGAGCTGGAGGAGTATGCAGACTTTCTCTTATTCCCCCTATTTGTACAATCTCTCTTCTTCCTGGTGTTTCCAGTCATCTTTTCCAAAGGATAAATCTCAGGCCTTCTACCAGTTTAGGGGAAGCAATCTGGGGCTGTAATTTTGTTTTACTTTATTTTTTGCATTTAAAACACGTATGAAAAAGCATTTCTTGACATTCTTCCAAACAAAGTGGTTTGCAAATGATCTTACTATACAGGGAAAGTTTTATAAATGCATTCTTTCAGCTTAAAGTCCTAAACAACATGAGGTCTTGTCGGGAGCAGAGCAGAGCAACATACAGAATTAGGCATACAGACAATGTCATGCTTTATGTATATAAAGTTATCAAAGAGTGTAACAAAATCACATTCATCGTCAATAAGGATTTAATTGACTTTTTAAATGAAAAGCATTTCTCTCTTTCTCTCTCTCTCTCTCTCTCTCTAATATAAACTGATGTTTACAACTCAAAACCCAGAACTGAATTAAATGATTATAATGGTGATATATTAGTTTATATTAGTTTACATTAGTATGAATTTATATTAGTATGCCACCTAATAGAAAAATCATTTGACTCTCACACACGGAAAAATCTTATGTAGATAATGAAGAAAGCATTGGTACGTGTTAGGAAGTAATGTAGAGAAGTGAGGCTTTGAGGTTAAATGATGGTGGTAGAGTGTGCTCATAGGCCCTTTTGGCAGGTTATAAGGGAGCACCTTGAGTGATATTGAACATTTCCTAGCCACTCTTACTACTGCCAAGTCTTTTTGCCCAAGTATTATATTCCAGGACCCCAGAGGGTCTCTGAGTAAGAAAATGATTGAGGTCAGTTTTCTTACTATTCACGTCTCTTTGACCTAGGAGATTATATGATACCCTGACGAACAAGGGGTGAGAATTATATAGATTCCCTTTTCTATGACCTTGATGTAATGCTTTTTAAACAAACCTTCTTAAAACTCCCTGTTTATAGTTCCATATTTATATTTTACTCTATGAAGTACCTGGTAATCAAATTTCTGTACCTTTCTGGGGTTCTGTGGAGGCAAATCAGCTTCTTTCAAAGCTTTACCTCAGGTTTCAGCTCCTCAGGTCTGCTGGGTCAGTCACATCATCCATCTGCTTTTCCCAATGCTGTTGCTGTCATCTCCATTTCCATTCTTTTTGCCTTGAGGGTCTGCATATGTGTTCAATCTGCCAAATTCTAGTTCTGCTACTGCTTATTGGCCTTGATTAGGTAGCCTCAAGAATGTCTGGGAAAGGTTATTCAAGCCTATAAGTAGTGGGTAACTGTTTGCTGCACTGTGCCTGGGAGCCAGTTACTACCAACATAAACTTGATTTCTATTACATATGAATTTCTTTTCTTTTCTTTTCTTTTCTTTCCTTTCCTTTTCCTTTCTTTTCTTTTCTTTTCTTTTCTTTCAGGTCTACCAAAAGCAGCTGTGATTAGTCAGATCAAGGCTTTAAAGGCTTCTGTTGTTCTGAGGGATTTTGGTTGTACTACTGATGACATCATTTATATAACCCTTCCTTTGTATCATAGTTCAGGATCTCTTCTGGGAATTGGTGGATGTATTGAGTTAGGTAAGTTTTCATTTCTGTATAAGTTTTCAAAATGCCTAATAATTAGAACTTTTTTTTTAAGTTTAAAACTCTACCAGTGGAATTTAGAGTGATTGTGTGCATGTTACATAATTATAATATGATGTTTATTAAAAGGATACAATTTCATGACATACTCAGTGTATTCCTGAAGTGGAAAATGCATTGCCCTGGGAATTTGACCATGTGGTTGGAGCTGGCTGTTGACTGGTCTGCTTTCTCCACATGTTCACTCATCCTTTCATTGTCTACCCCTGCCTCCTTACATGGTGGTAGGAGCCTTCCAAGAAGGTAAATGTGGAAGCTGCATAACTCTTAAGATTTATCCTTGAAAGTCACATAGATCATTTCACCTGCATTTTGTTGATCAAGACAAGCCACAAGCCAATCCAAATTCAAAATCTGAGGGGCTGGGAGATAGATCCCATCTCTTGATGGGAGGAATGGCAAATTTACAAAGCAAAGATAAGTGCATAATAAAAATTGCTGAGGCTATCCTTACAAACAATGTACCCCAGACACCCGATTAGTCGATAGGTAGAACTTGGGACACAGTAGATTCCATTTGCAAACATGCTAAATGTTTCCCTAGTGCCTCATTTTGCCTTTTCTCAGAGGAGCTACTTGTGTGTTAAAGAAGAAATGCTCAGCAAGCCAATTTTGGAATGACTGCAAAAAGCATAACATGACTGTGTTTCAGTATATTGGAGAACTTAGTCGCTTACTCTGCAAACAACCTAAGGTAAGAGTAATCATTCTCACAGAGAAAAAGTAATTTCAGAAAGAAAAAGTATTGAGAGAAAAAGTAATTTTTGTTTGTTTATACTCCATCGTTTTCTAAAACATAGTTTGGCTGACTTAAAAGATGTATGCAATACCCTAAGATAAAATAAAAATAAAACAAGTCAGAGAATATAAAAGGATTGCTATCCAGGAATGTACTAATGTGCTTTATAGTGTGTCAAGAAAGGACAGACCTGCAGTCCAGTCCATTTCATGTTTAAACTGATTAAAATTTCTATATACATGGCATGCATCTGATTATGAAATTAGATGCATGCTATATTTACAGAGAGCAATTATTCCAAGGTTGAATTAAATAATCTTTTTTTCATGCTTCTATTTTATAATGCTTTTTCTTCTTCTTTTTTATTTTTATTTATTTTTATTTTTTATTATAATGACATTGGTTAACAAAATCCAGTAAGTTTCAGATGTACAATTTAGCAGTAAGGCACATATATATTGCATTGTGTTAAATAATCTTTTAAAGTGCTGTTCTACAAACACTAACAACACTGATTATACTTGTTTTGCTGTTTTTTTTTTCTTTTGAGTAAGTGATTACGTTAGAATGTCTTTGTTTGGTTTTGCTTGAATTGTAAAAGGTATCTTACTTTGATTTGCACTTGTCTCCCCACCTAAAGCAGTCATTCCCACATACTTTTGATAAATTGCTCCCTTCTGAAAATAAACAGGCAGAGAGAGTTGCAACAGCCTAAAGTTTGTCTTCATTAGTGTGTTTGCTATTTTGCCCTCAGAAGTTATTTTTCTTTTCCTGGTCTCATTTATATTTCAAGATGCTTATTTTTTAGCTGTCTGACTTTCTAAACATCCTTGAGACTTCAAAGAAGTAATCAACACAAGCCCGTTGAAGAATGGTGATAGAGAATGGTTCCTTATGTGGATCGGGCAGCAGAACCTAAAGTATTGCCCTGGGCCCTTGAGAAACACCATTTCTAGGCTAGAGCATCTCTCACTCATCACCATTGCCATCATCACTCCAGCTTAAGGCATGGATGATGAGCATGGGTATCTTCTCTGGTTATTTAAAATAAGGACATGCAATCCTTCCTTTACGCACAGCACTGCTAAGACTAGGCTGGAGACATTTAAATAAAACTCGATTAAAGATATGGGATTATACAGGGGAAATAAACACAGAAGAGAATGTGAAACTGGATACTCTTATTTACAAAATGCTTTTATTCATTTTAAGCTTGGAGTTTGCCAGGGAGAGACCTCCTGTCTAGCTTTCAATTCACCTCTTTGTGGCAGAAGCTATCCTATTCTTTTTGTTTGGTCAAGAGAGCTTTAGATGGCTCTAGATTTCCTAGATCCATAGCTATTACAGGGAGTCCCAGAAAAATGTTTTAGTTTTTTGTTTTTTTTTTTTTTTTTTTTTTACCTTTATTCTCTTCAGTAAGACTTTACTATTATCAGGGTTGTGGTCTTATCTGAAGAGTTCCAATAGAATAATTATGCCGCAACCTAACATATTTTCTCTTCTATTTTTCATTGTATTTTTTGGTAACGTGATATCTGAACTAAGTTAATTTAAGGAATTAGTGTCCTCCAGTCAAATAAAAGCAACCTTCTATAAAGGACAGAGTAGGCACTACCTGATGAACATCTTCATGGCCTTTCTAAACTGTGCCCCCAGCCATTCCTCTCATTCTTTAATAGAAACATTAGCTTTGCAAGGTTATTTGCTCAGTAAATATTTATTAAATACATGCACATATTTTTTTAAAGTTTCATCATCTTAAATAATGCTGAAATTATTATCTTCATGCAATATAGCCAATATAGAGTCTCAGAAGTGAAGGTAGTCAAAAGACATGGACATTTGGCGATTTTTATGATATATTTCCAGATTGCTTTTCAAAGTGGTTGACATGATTTAAGCTCTCAACAGTATGGGAGTATGCCTATTGCACAGTCTCTTCTCAATACTGGGCGACATTAAAAATAGTGGTCTTCCAGTTGTGCTTCATGGAGAACTAGATGCTCCCTCAAGCTTCTTCAAAAGTCCCTGAAGGATGGGAAATGGGGAAAACAGACCAGTCTTCATGGCTCACTCTTTTAAATATGGTAGATGAAACCCAATTCGCTTGGGCTTCTAAACAATATTTTGTTTTAATAAAGAATGTCAGGGTTTTTTTTAAGAATGAGGAAAAGATTGTTTAATTTTATTTATAATTTTAAATTAGAAATAATTTACAAACTAGACTATAATTTGTAAACTACAATTTATAAACTAGAAATAAGCATATTTTTAATGTCTGATGATTAATTTAATTTTAATCACTAAGATGACTGGCAAGGTGGGATAGTGTTTTTGCTGTTTTTCTCCTTTTAAATGTCTCCCTTAGTCTTACTCATTCATCTCCTGGCACATAATGTTTTATCTTATCCATTTGAGCTATTTTTTCTCATAAGAAAGGTATTAATAGTTTGTTATATTTGCTTCAAATCTCTTTTCAAGGTGTTTTCCTTTGAATTTTTTGTGAAATGAAATATCCTTTTCATCTCTTTGAAATTGTAATGCATCAAATTGGGGGAAATGAGAGAATCTGAGAGAACTGATAATTGAAAAAGAATCCCTGATTACTTTTAGTTAATTAAATATTTTAATTCTTAGCTTAAGTTCTTTAAAGGAAAGATAGCGTTTTTAAAATAATCTCTAAGCACTTATCTGCAGGCAAATTGAGGAGGCAAGAGGGAAATAAATATAGCTTTGTCCAAAAGAAAAAAAATTAATCATTTTTCTGAGTAGAGATGCATCATATTACCTAATCTCCTTTGTTGATTTCACACTGAGAAAGTACAAGCAGTTCTTGGCATTAAAGACTGGAGAAAAAGAGAGTCATTCTGTTATGACATCTTATCCCTTCAAGGAGATCTTGCTTTTTGCTGTCCAATATTCCTTGCTTTCGGTAAACTTTTCCCACAGGGAAGGAATAGTGTCTGCTATGCAGCCAGCACAGCAGTGGCTTCGGGTAAAGCCAGAGAATGAACAAGTGAAATGATCTACACTCTCAAGAATTAAAATTCAGTGTCTCATAAGCCATGGTTTGAAGCCCCCATAGACATTTATTTAAATAAATCCTTAAGTAAAAGAAAGCAAAACCACATATTCTCTAAATATATCCAGATTTGTTGTCAATCTCAAGATAAGTAATATTTTCCTGAAGAGATTTACCTGCAAGCAGAAATCACAGTCTGAGATGAGTGTTTATAGGTAGTTGCATAAAAATGCCTTACAGTTGGCTTTTCCCTAGCAGTAAACATTTATACACCCACCACCCAAATGTCCATAGTTTTATATGGCTAGATTCCTGCTTGACATCTCCACTTAGAATCTAGTTCGCATCTTATCTAAAAAATAGCCAAAGCCTAACTTTTTACACCCTCCATCAAAATGCAACTCCTTGCCACCATCCTGACCTTCTTAGTTAATAACTCCACTCTTCCAGTCACAAAAGTTCTGGAATCTCCCTTGAAATTCCTTTCTCTCATACTCCCTGTCGAATCCATGAGCAAATCCTGGAGATTCTACCTTCAAATATATCCTGAATCAAACTTCATTTTACCACCTACTGATGCTCTTATCTAAGTCAGCACTACTTCTTGCCTAAAATTTTAGCAAAAGCTTCTCCTTAACTCTACTTTTTCCCTCTTAAATTTTACTCTGGGGTAAGCAGTTGGAATGATTCTACTACCGTGTAAGCCCCATTATGTTACTTCACTACTCAGATTCCTCTGATGGCTTACTTGGAAGAAAATCCAAATTCCCCTAGCATGAGCTACAGAGCTCTATATGATCTGCTCCCCTGCTGGGACCTCCCTTCACCCCCCCACCCATTCCTAACCCTGCTCACACTCAGCTCCGTATTCACTCCACTCTAGCCTCACTGGCCTCCTTGCTTTTCCTCTAATGCACCAGGACTCTCAGTTTTCACCCACTGAATATTCCCCCAGAAATCTGCATGGCTCACTGCCTAACTCATTTAAATTCCCTCCTAGGAAAGGCCTTTGCTGGCCACAATCCCCATTGATGTGTGGTATCGTCCCCTGGTCCCCTCAGATGGACCTCATACCCCATTTGTTTCAGATGTTGAGACTGACGATGCCACATGTGCACCAGGAGTACATGAACAGGTTTATTACTCACATAATGGGGCTTTCTGGGGGGAGCAGGGCAGGGTTCTAAGCATGTCCAAAAATGGCTTGAAAGAGCAAGGGAAGAGACCAATTCAGCTTTTATTATGATAAGGGGAAGCAGTGGGGTGAGAGGTCTTATGCATGTGAGGCCACTTGTGTGCTTCGAACTTCTGTTGGTGCCAGAGGAAGGAGTCCTGGGCTTTCTCATTAGTTTGCCCAGATGTGGGACAGAAGAGGAAAGGGGACTGGTGGCGCTTGAAAGCTGTCTGCAGACCAACATGAAGAATGGAGTCAGACTCTATCACAGTGTCTCCTAGTCTTCTTCACGGCTTTGCTTGAACATATTACCCCACTACTTATTACCCTTACATTACTCCCAGTACACTATACATTCCAGGAAAGCAGGGCATTAACCTTTTTATCTATAGTTATATCCTCAGTACCTAGAATGGTGTCTGACACATAGTAGATGCACAATAAAAATATTTTTTAATTAAGTAACAAATATAACAAGCCCAGTTGCTGGGATACTTACGTGCTCATGAGCAGGACAATCTTTTCCTAGGCCCAGACCCGCAAGGGAAACTCATTTATTATCAGAAAGTCAGAGTTCCTGGGGAGGACAGAGCCCAGTGAGGGAGTAGGATAAATCAAAGGCTTGCATCATTGCATAGAGGCAGTTAGGCAATGCTGCATCCAGCTTACAACAGAAATGATCTTGCTAATGGACCCTTTTCTTTATGTTGACACAGACCTTTTTGAGGTGAGTTAACACAATCATTTGGGTTAGAGGCA